GGATTATTACCAAAAACTAATCAAAACCTAGCATTAGTTCAGAGCATCTATGTACCAAGTTTCATCAAAATCCAATGAGTGGTTGTTTAGATATCAGTGGAACAGTCATGGAACCACTAAAAAATAGCTAATTATCATGCAAATTAGGTAATTAACATGCACGGATTTTTACCAAAAACTAATCAAATCTGCGCATATGTTCAGAGCATCTATGTACCAAGTTTCATCAAAATCCAATGAGTGGTTCTTTAGATATCAGTGGAACTGTCATAGAACAGCTAAAAATTAGCTAATTATCATGCAAATTAGGTAATTAACGAGCATCGATTTTTACCAAAACCTAATCAAATCTGCGCATTGGTCCAGAGCATCTATGCACCAAGTTTCATCAAAAACCGATGTATGGTTCTTGAGATAGCAGTGGAACAGTCGGACACACATACACACACACGCACACACACACATACAGACACACTAACTACAAAGACTCCCATTTTGTGCTTCGCACATGGGAGTCAAAAATGTTATTTTTTCTGTATTATTGCGACAATTTTGGGGATTTTAGGCATTTCCTAGGCACTTTTGAAAAACAGAATCACAAAATTTAATTTTTCTGCATTATGAATAATTGCGACAATTTTGGGGATTTTCAAACTAGACTACAAGATATGTAGTTTGAGCAAAGCATTACACGGTATTGTGATCTAAGAATATCACTCATATTTGTCAACAAGAATATGAAATATTCTTGTATTTAATGAATCGAAATTATGTAGTTTTCCATTACTGAAATGATAATTGAAATTATTTCTGGCAAGTTGTGAACAAGCTTTGAGATCAGTTCAATCTTCAAAAGTATTAAGTGCGCATGCGCAACTTTGACGACAATGCCACGAATCAACCTATTCAAATTCAGTTCCTTATCATGGCGCTTTTCAAACATTGCTTCAATTATTGGTAGGAGGTCAGGGTATGCTAATTAATGCTACACTAACCTATTAAGTAATCATAAGGCCACCCTTTTTTATACCTTGATCCTCGGGCGTTTTGGACAGACGTGATGGAGAGGAGGGCGGAAAAAAATAAAGATAATTTTTTTTTTCAATATTTGTCATGTCCTCGGACCTTTCGAGAGGAGGATAGTAAAAAATTAAATATTTTTTCGGTAAATAAATATTTATTTGGAAAAAAATGGCCATTAAACTTCTATGTCTTCAGACGCTCTGACATTATTGTATGTGATGTGACTATAACACAGACCGAATACTAATGTACTGATTGGCATTGACGATGTCAGCGTGGTCGGAAATTTGTCAGATAGATTGCCCGTTCCCTTTATGTAAACGATGGGTCGCTCGTCTAAATCATCTGGGACTTCCTGGAGTATCAGGTCACCTACTGTACTAGATCAGGCCCGTAGCCAGCACTTTTGAATAGGGGGTTCGAAAACAACAATAAATGATATATTTGATGTGAAATTTTATAATATTCAAAAAGTGTATTTGATCTCTGTTACATACATTTTTATATTCTCGGTTTTTAAATTCAGTTGGTTTACTTTGTGTTACGTTGGTAAGTTATTTCACATAAGATTTTTGAACTATTTTACCATTTTAGAGAAGGGGTCCTAGGCCATTCCCCACCCACAGACAAACACACCCACACCCTTGATCCATTACGGCAAAATGTTGTACACAAAAAAGGCAAGACTGTACGTATCTTAGCATTATTGTCCAAGCATTTTAAGGTAGAATGCTACTGACGAGCTTTTTCGCTCTTCACATATGTTAGCGCACATAAAAGTGACACAATTTCATGTCGAAATCTGTTTACAATTATTCATTTTAGTATTTTAGTCAATTATGTAATTTTATTTCTGTACAGGGCCTCACCACATATCACGTTTTAAAAACAATACAACATCCATGTAAACATATGGTACTAAGTTAAGCT